GTCACGTAGACGCACATTAACGCTTCCGAAAGGAGTGCATGTACCTTCTGAAGCAATTTTTGCAGATCTTCCTTTTCAAAGCTCGGATTTGAGAGATCCATGTGCTGGCGATTGGCATCTTCCAATTTATCGCGGATTCGCTCAATCTCACTCTGCTTAATGAAATCCAATCGAGACCTTACGTCGCTGGACACCACGTCCAGGCCTTCAGCGATCTTACCTGTCTATGAAAAGCAAAACTGTTTAAGTAAAAAATTAAGCAAAATCGAAAGAACAAAATTTTACCGTTATGAAATGAAGGAGAATGTCGTTGAGAAGCATGCAAAAGGCACCCCAGCTGATAATAATCTTAAAAAAATGGCGCGAGAAGGGGGCGGAAGTAGTTTTCTCAACTGTAAAACAAATTGTAATGCACATGAATATGAAATAAAAGTCTTTGGGTGTGGAGCACGATTACTACGGGAAACGCAAAAAGCTCAATGGTCCATGAGGACGTATCATTGTCTCACTTGTCGTATGAAAAATACGCTGCGAGGCCATGCGCAGTTTTGTAAATTATTCTAGAGAAGAGTGACTGTGACTAATTGATTCTAAGTCGACAGAAAAATAGCATTATCGCAACGAGTGAAAATGGGCACTATGTAAATAAGAAGCTGTAAAAGGATAATCCTGAACATAACATAATATGAAATCTAAACCTTATATAAAAAATTATCAGAATCGCTCAACTTTATCAAACCAAAATGACCATACTTACGGAAACAGACTCCATACGAAGGAAGAAAGTGAATCAAATGAAGAATACATAATCTACATATCAATTTATTCAATGCAATATGACTGATCAGCCAAGAAGCCCAAGTCATAAATCTGAACTCATTACTGAATATCGATTTACTCTGCTGAAACTGATAAAATACAATTGAGGTGTCTTCTTTCAATACTTGCTTACTAATTTAGGAGCAGATGGTGTTGATGCTGCTTTAACACTTCCTAGAATTATGCATATCAATGGTTATGGTAAAAGGGTATGTCTTATATGCTTATTAAATAGTCGTTTCTAAAAATTATTACCAAATATCACTCTCATAAACGTATCCTTATCGTATAATTAAATTAGCTTTTCTTAAAGTTATCTAGCATTACTGCTTTAAACAAAACCAAAACATTCGATAAATGAGCAGCTTACCTGAATATCTTCCACCTGTGCATTCCGCAGTTTCGCTTCAAAATCTAAGACAAAATAAATTTCACCTTGCTTTGAGCGAAAATTAAAGAAGTTCCCTACTGGGATCACTACGAAGCGCGTCCACGACCTCCTGAATATACCTCTGGTACGACACGTTATATCTCTAAACAAGCAATAATCGGTCAAAATTCACAAGAAAGCGCACTGAACAGAAAAGCATAATCAAGAATCTACAAGTAAGGAAAAAATATCAAACATCACACGAAGGAAGGGGAGTAAATAAAAATGTTTTCGGAGTAAATCAGGTATATGAATGGGAAAATTAAATAAACAAAATCATTCTTATCTCTTCATTTTGCATCTTGTCATTGGTGCAAATTCCCAGCTACAGTAACCTAAATGATTCTTTTTCGTTAAAGTTCAGATTACGTAACTATATATTGAGCTGTTGGCAACTCCATGCTTTCATACAATGTGACTCTTAACTGTAACTCCCCGTTTTGAACAATGCCGTTTTTTCTTACGTACTGCATGTCGTGCGACGCTTGATGCCAATGGCTGCGCAAGAGGATTGGTCTTGCAAGATTAGCTGTCACAAGCAAATGTACTGTGTGAATTTTTCCATTTGATAATTATTGAACAGCGACCCGAAAGGAGAAGCGGTCAAGGAAGATGATTATGATAATTACTGATCACCACTTCAGTCGGTTGTGCGAAATCATTTCTCTTATCATCGCCTTCGCTCTGCTTATCTGAATTCCAACCTACGTGCGCTTTAACTCTCACTCACATAACACGGCTTCAACTTCCTTTTGCTTTCGATCAATACGACACAAAACATACATTAACTTTAAACACTGCGTTTTCTATGCACTAAATGCCTTCTCTGTCTTAATCCATTCTTTTCTTTTTACTATTGTTATATACGTCGTGTATCATATCTATACTGTCACTGTCTATGTGACTGCTGAAATATTACATGGCGCAAATGCTGTGTGCCATGCCAAAGCATGGAATAAGGGTAACATCATAAGATAACAATAAACCATAATTCTTTTTCCCATAACAGGTCCTAAACATTACATACCGAAAAATCACCATCTTCTTCCACCTGAGGCGTTGTCTGCTGCGGTATAACGGGAAGACAACCGACCCGGATGACTAGCATGCAAACGCATGCTATACAAATGATGGCAGTCATTCGAAAAATCTAAATGCGAAAAATAACTCATGCAATAAGAAGACAATTATTAAAGCATAACAACTATATTTTCAAACTGAAAACAATGGATTAATCGAGTTTATGATACTGATCCATTGATAACCGATAGGCAGACAAATACAAAAAGGAATCATTTACACTAAATTCACTTAAAACCTGTATATATTATTATTCTTCTTTTTCTTAGCATCTCCCTTTTAACAGAGGTCCGCAAAATTGGCCAACTTCAAAATTCATTGTTTGCAAACATCTTTTTGCATAAAATAGCATACGTCACACTTTATTGTCCATACAAGATCGCATATATAACTTACATCCACAACGATTCTAAGTCGAATGCTCTACTTCTTGGTACAAGAAATAACTATTAGTACACAATGAAGTATCAGACAAGTAGACCAAAACAAGGCATCATTACCCCATTTCGTAAGAATTAGAATTTCATTTGCAAAAATTTTTTCAAACGGATAGCTTCTGTTTCAAGATAGATGCTTTTTCTGCAGTTCATATTTAACTGCAAATGTTTACGTCTAGAAATGACCGCCTCATAGTCACTCAACAGCTAACAACAATCATTTATTTTTCACCTTAAGTAAATATGGTAGAAAACTACTTCACCAAGGATTACACAGCAAAAAGTCAAAATGCATTATTACTAAGTCTGCAAATAACTTAAAAATTCAAGATGTTTTATAATACATAGATAGAGATGACACGACAGAACTCAATGAACGCTTTCAATCAAATAACCTCATGCGCCGAGTTACAGTACATTTTAACTTGGATTTTCAAGTAATTCATGGAGTATATTGTTTTCCAACATATTATCTAAATCATTAAATCCGAGTGTTTGCTAAATCTTCTGAATTCAAATCTCAAACAATGAAATTTAAGAACATTTTGCCGACATCGCCTAGTTGTCTGCCCTACAGAATATGGCAATGCGCCGCGTTTTTGACGCAATTTCTATCTCGAAAGTTCAGCGATTTCATGCAATAGTTCGAGGGACGAATTTCCCAATCCTGCGTTCTCCAGTCTTTTCTTTTTAGTTGTAAATTTGAGGTCTGTAAAGAAAACTTCAAGCTACAAGGTATTTGGTTAGATGGTTACCACCAAAATAAAAAATTTTATTTTAGTATTCCAGTGCTCTTTCTGCTGTGAACTACACCTTCTACTTGCGGTAAAAAATGTCACAGGGTTAGCCTTCCATTTACGAGCACCATTCCTCTTTTTTAGAGCTACAGCCCACATTTACAATAACAACGACATACAGCCTGAGTTCTATCCCATCTTGCCTAACTACAATTTATTCCTTTGTAGTATGCATTACAAAGGTCATGCGTTTTCCAAATTCCTGTTAAGGCGAATTCCGAGCTGTTTCCCATTCGTTTTTAACAGGGAATAATATTTGTCGTTTGACAAAGCGTCGATGCACCTGATGGGGTTTCTCTTTTCTGCGGCAGCACTCACACATTGGCAGTGTTGTTCCAGCTGCAGTTTCTCCGTACGTAGCTGAGTTGGTCTTAATATTATGTAATTGCATTCAACACAAGTGCATTTGAAAGCTTGAATCGAAAAATTACTTGAATGCTTCACTTCCAGATATAATATATTTATGCTTACTGGAATCGATTGGGTTCGTTTAATATACCTAACGAATTAATCTGTATTTTTCACAAAACAACATTAATGAATGGGATAATCGCAAAATAATACAAGAAAATTTGCTGCATAATCATTGCTCAATAGAGTGACGGTGATAGCAATGAGCTGAGGATGTTACGATTGCATGGAAGGATTGTGAGATTGTGAATATTCCATGTTTATATGAACATGCTGTCAAACTAAAAAATGTTTTCACTGGTTTTAATTTTAGTCGAAATATAAAGCATTTTCTGCGCCAAATATAAAGTTCGATCTTCCAACACTTCAACTTTTGCCGTGGCTACAGTCATTAGACAGTTCACTTGCCGATTTGGTTATTGGTTAAAGTTGATGATACTAGAATCCTTGCAATATTCTATGAATATCACGGAAGGCTATTTTAATAGGTCGGGATGTCACTGATCGCAATTTTGTTCGCCTATATCTTTATTTGCTTTCATTCTCACTTATTTGCTAAATAATTATGATTTATTTTCTTCCATACTGAAAGACAGCATTTTTCGGCAACTTATTTTAATCGGTGTATTTCAATTTCAAATCAATATCAATTATTTACACCGAATTTCAAAATCCATCAAATTACCGGATCACATTACTACAACTAACTGATCTACGTGGCCGGCTTCTGTCACATAGTCCTAAAGCATAGCTTTAACTATTTCGTAACTCATCAGCTGATCATTCATTGATTAGCTTCTAACTTTTATTTGCTATGATTAAGACTTAATAACATATGCTGACTCCGCCATAACTCCGCCACTGCCGGTCCCAATCCCGGAGGAGAAAGGAGGAGGCCTCGAGACCGTGGCAAGTCTCCGAAAAATTCAGCCACCTGCCACTCATGGTATCGAAGCTATCAAAAATTATACCGGCTCGGACGTCCGCGGGTTACCAAAGGCCGCGCAGGCTGTCGGAGGACAGAGGCAGACTGCGAAAAGTCGGCAAGCAGAACCTGATCATTGCCCTCTGCCAGCCGGGGGCATGGCAGCACAACGACGGCTGACGAAGACCGACGCAACGACAACGAAGATAGCAGTCAGCAACGGAGTCGCTACTTGTTCTGAACGGAGGAGCCAGACAGCGCGATGCCATTACAGCACGTCAAAAAAGGCTCCACGGAAACGACACCACCACTGAGAGCTTAAAGTCGGAAATTGGAACATATCCTCACTCAG